GTAGGATAAACGGAAACAACCATATGATTGTCGCACGCTGTTTCCTTTGCAACAGAAAAAGAATTGGAACGTTTACTTTTCGAGATGATGGCTGCCGGAACAGATACAACCTCGCTCACTCTGACCAACGCATGTGCATATATGGCAGAGTGTAACGAGTTGCTTACTGTGAGTGGTCTGGATAAACACATGGATCGAATTCATCGTCAAGCCAGCGTTGTTCCTCTCGCTCTGCCCCATGTGGTACGTCAACCGATTCACATGTCTGGATATCATATTCCAGCCGGGAGTATAATGATTTTCAACCTGTATGCCATCCACCAGACTCAGATGCGAGAGGTTTGTCCCATGGCTGCAATGCCGTTCTCCATTGGTGAGTGGATTGCTTTGAAGTACAGTGCATCTTTCTATATATNNNNTGTACAAATCATCTTGGTGTGGGAAACATTGTGGAATGATTTTAGCTTGAGATGCGGATGTTGGTGTCGGGTTGTTCTCAAAACTGGAAGTGTTGTTCGCAGACGTTTCGTAACCAGGCTAGGCAATAACGTTAGTGCAACTTGGGTGCTTCCCCGACCAAGACGCATCGCAAAGTGATGGCCAACAACGTTCCGCATCAGATTGATTTAAACGAAGCAAAACTCATACAATTGGTTTCAATTATGGGGTTCGTATGCAAACCTTTACGCATGTGTATTACTGAAAAGCGTAAATACACCTCGTGGATACTTCAAACAAGAATCTCGTTTTAACATCCCTCATTCTACGCTCCCTTAAGCATAATCGGACGATCTTATTTCAGCCATTCGATGACACCCCTCGGATTCAGTTTGCATGGGGACCAAAAACGTGGGCACTTTATTGCATAGTATAGGTAAAAATTATTGAAGGGAGTTTCCTTAGCGTTGTGTCCTTAACCATATGTTGATCTGTCTTTTTCCCGTTTTCGTCTGAAGCTTCTGGTCATCATATTTATCTGATGGAGCAGGAAAGTGTACACTACTGTGAAATCAGTATCTCTAAAATGCGATTCGGTAACTCTAGAGACTCTCGAATCACGCCCATGACTTATCACTATTCTCCCAGGTTTGCTTTTTTAACTGTTGATAGTACGGATAAATCAACAATGGCGATATTTCTCATCTTTTAATTTATCTATACCCCTTCTAAATTCAATTTAATTTAAAATTCAATCCGATAAATATTAGGTGGTCCGAACGCATATTTTTCCGGGTGCCATCGTTTGAGCACTGGGTTTTATGGCAATTGATTCTGTTAGAGTGTCATCAGTGACCCTACATCAAGTTGGATTACTCAAACGTGTTTTGGACCATTCAAGACAAACCTATCATCCGGAGAGCTATCAGCAGATCATTAGACCACCACACGCTATCCAGGTTTGAAATCCATAGCAAAGTGGTTACAAAGAGTACTTGAACGTCCTCAGGAAGTAGAAATGAAAATGGTCAAAGAACTGTGATTCAAAATCGAAGATTTATCACGGGAAATACATACAAGCGGTTGCTCTCCTTGTCCTATAGGGTTTTTCTCACAACTGCACTATCGAAACCGAAATATTCACAACACTTAGAGCAGCCCAGACACAGTCAGTTTTACCCGATTTTTTGTTAACCGCTTGTATTTTCTCCCAAAAATGCTCCGTGCCGCTTATTGTCACAAAAGACCTGTTCCCACTTTGTTAGCCATTGCATGAAACCACAGCTATACATTTGAAACGTTGGGTCCCCTTTATCCATCTTATCAAGACCGACAGAAGATATATAGCGAGACGTTAGCATTTCGTGATTCGTTTATACCCTCCCTCTTTTACTAACTTCTTCAGCTATAAAGTAGCTACTCATACGTAGTATGATGCAAACGCTAGTCAAACTCATGGGAAAATTAAACATAACAGCAGTTACAGTAATCATGATAACACCAATGATGATAAATCAACTAATGGACTAAAATTTAATAAGGATTCATTTTTTTAATAATAGAATGGTACATATACCACTGAATAGCACAGTACTTAAAAACACTGGCGGACGTTGATCGATTTTGGGCACTTGTTTTAATTTGTGACCTCGACGCTAGAACTGGCCGTTTTAAATTGTACAAAGTACTTGACCAGATGGACGGTTTTGCTTGTATTGAGTACATGCAGGATGCCGCAAGTACAGGAAGCACTGCACTTCGCTCGGGAAAACTTTTCGTTCCATTTGGGTGAGATCTGGCATTGTTTACGTTTCAATTTTTCTCATCAAACATTTCCAGTTGACATTTTAACCATTATGGAACATATAATGCATTTTTATCCGTGTTAAACATTTAACCTTTGTTTTTGATACCATTTACATACTTATTGTTGTTATTATTTTATCAGTTTAGCATTTTTTTACCACTAGTGATTTTATTATCACCATTTCCATATTTGCAACATACCTCTCTCAAGATCTTGAAGAGATCTTCTTATACACTACTCTTCAGCAGATAAGTTATAATTGCAAATTTTTGTCGGGGGAGGGACATTAACAGTCACGTCCGCCAAAACACTTTTCTATGTGGCAACATGCATTACGGATTCCTCCATTAGGAAATAATATGCCTCGATAGTTCTATCAGTGTGTCCAATAGCAATTGCGGCTGGTCAAAAATCTGAAGGGATGAGTCTTGCACTCAGAGCAACGAGGAACACATGCACCTGGTCTCGGTTTGTACTCCTGAACACGCATCAAGTGGCAGCATCTAGAAAACCTGTTACGGAAGTCGACCGTGGCCCTGCATTTACTCAACAAAAGCTACACCTTCGATGCGCCGTAAGATTTCCCTGAGTTATCACTGTTAGGCATGGCTTCAAGATCACAGTTTAAACAAAAGCCTATTTTCGATATTTATATTGTAGCTCTAGAAAACAAAGTATTTTACATGATACAACATAAGATCAAATAATGTCAACAGTTTCACTTGAACAAAGGGTGCCATTAACTGAAATGAAATACACACCAATCATCTCTGCTGACTCAGAAACATTCGAAAAATCTTTAAGAGTTATGGTTATTGAAAATAGGATGGAATCCGTGCGAACATTTACCGGAAAACAGTGGCCTTTTTGGCTAACGGCGCCATTGATGAGTGCTTCCGTTCTGTGTCAATATCAGATAATTGTGCACACTTTGGATTTTATTTATTGTTTTCAATCTGGGCAATAAAACATTGTATGTGTCTCTCGAGCCACTGGATAAAAAGGAACACGCCATGAGTGGTCATAATAAATGCATATTTATCTACGGTTGTCAAGGTCATCTTCCACATTAAAACGAACGACGCTTCACTCTAGCTGAACTGAAGCTGGTTCTGATGTCCGCTAACTGGGGTAAACCACGACCAGTATCTTCAATCAATCAAACTCAGCCATTATTACAGTTTGGCTGGTTGACATCGTTATCTTCAAACCACTTTTTTCTCATTACAGGGTCTAGAGCCTGTCCCGGGCAACGGTTGGCCAATAAAGTGCTACAAGATATCATTCGAGCAATCGATCAAAACTTTTCTGTTCAGATCGATCCCGTGTCCCCACCCAATAGGACGGAGAATATGCGCACCGGTGAACCTCATGCACGGATTTCTCGAGGTTTGACCCTCACTCCCACGAAAACCGTATTTGTTTTCCACACACGATGAACATTCTCTCAAACTTTTCAATTTCAAATGAGCGAAACAAACACTGCAAAAACTGAGACAGCAACTTTCATGATCTTTTCCGTCAACTCGGAACCGTTATATCATATCCTCGATTCACTTCGGGAATAGTAGAATTGAATCGAATCTCAGACCGATTGTTTTGGCAGTTCTCAGAATGGTGAAATCGGTGGCCACATCTTTATATTCACTCAGTCTTTTTGTTCACCTAGTTTTCAACACCATAATAGTTGACAACAGTCTTCATTTTATTTTTCATTATTTTTGAGAAAGGTCATTCCATATATCTCGTGTTTGGATACATTTGCACACTTCCAAAAATGTTTGGTTTGCTTGACCTATAGGTACCGATCAATTGATGTTCCATTCAAAGTATATACTGGTTAAATATCATTAGAAGCACTCCTGTTCGGGGATTGAATTCGACTGGCAGTTGAAAATAAACATACGTCCTCTCGTGAAAAGTATGATGACTTTTACGCTCCTAAAGTTATTTTGTCTATTGTACATTGAAACTATCACAACTCTGACTCCAGATAGTGTCTTCCAGTTGTATTTTGTTATTTTAAACAAAGTCAACTTCCTATATGAGAAGATATCCTTTCGATTGTTTCTTTTTGTTCCCGGAGAAGCATTTGCCCTGATGCTCTTGCAAATGCATTACAGCCAAACAATTTTGCGGTGCATATGCAACTATTGCCCGTGCTTTTATCGAAACTGCTCAGATTTCGCTATTGAAATTTTGAGTACATTTTACGCCTAAAATAAACATCCACACTCCCACCTGATGTGTAGCAGGTGTGATAATGCATCAGTAACTGTAACCACAAATGTTCCAAACTATTATCTGTTGTTCTTATTTATATTTGCTTATATTTTCAGATATCATGTAAGTTTGTGGCAATATAAAATCGTTTCGTTCCCTTCCTGAGTTTCTTTTATTAATTCTACTGAATCGGTGCCACTTTCAGTCATACTACCAGCAATCATACTATGATGGATGTCGCAAAATGTATTTATATAATGATTGTACATAGACTATGAACCCGTTTGTTTTATGAAACACGATATCCTTGGGCACTCACCTTTTCCACGTGTTATAATACTATTTATTTGTTGCACTCTGCTCTCTGATTTCATTCCGAGTACTAGTATTTGGGCGAACCATTACTGAAATAAAGTTGATACATATACGAATCACTAGTCGCAGTACGAATTGCTAAAATTGCAGTCATTATTTCTAAGGAGGTGGAATAAGTATTCGGCAATTCTTCATTCCGTGGAATGGAAGATTACTTTGATACCAAAAACATTGGACATATAGATGTATATATATATATATATTGAAAAGGAGAAGGTGGGCACTGAGTTATAGCATTTATTATGACGTTTCGATCCAGCCTAAGACTTTTTGTTAAACGATAATAGGTGTGAATGAATTGGGTCTGCTTTTGCCTCGCACTGCGGTTTGCGTCGCACCAATTGGTCCATCCGTCCCGCGTTCCTCTTTGGTTGTACAATCTTTGCGTAATGTTTACCGATTGCCACGTGTCGATTGAATGAGTTGGTCGAAAGCATATATATGTATATATAGCAAATAAATTTGTATATTTATCCTTAAGTTTACTTCCCTTTGTTGAATATACAGTGATTCCATTTTCAGGCCCGGGGAAGTGGTCAATCGAAGAGTTGACATACAACAAACCACCGGGCGACCACCGCCTTAAATACTCCAGTTACTCCAAATTATAGTCCGAAAGGTAGTGATTCGAATGATTCAATCCCATGACCTATGTGAAACATTTAGAAGAAATAGGTTTCAACGTGAGATCTATGTGCAATATAGATAGGAGTTGTTCATATTCAGTAAGAAATCGATCTGTTGGATGATTAAGCGTTATCATTCCGTAGTGTCCTATTTTGGGCCCATCTTGGAGAGTCCAGTGTGAAACCCCTCTGGGTGGAAACAGAATCTCAGAGGAAAGAAAATGACCTTATATAAGACTTTAATGAGGCTCTACCTAGTAGTAACACCAACTCATCTGAATATTTAGTTGAACACTGCAAGCACACCTCACATGTATCCCGCACAGCACACTCATATTTACACTGATTCCTATCTAATGTTCCCAGAAAAACCCATGAGTTAGAATATCCTAAATCAGCATACTCGATACTAATTATCTGTAAAACACTAAAAGGGTGTTATCGGCTTGGCCCTATTCAATGTGCCCAACTTCAACAAACAAAATTATTCCAGAGGAAAGAAGAATTTAGAAATGCTATATACTGTAGTGAAATACAATTAGTGTGAAACTGGTCGATGAACCGCTTGCGGATTACGTTTCTCGTGGATCCCGAAACTTTCTGTCAAACTGATACCCAAAAGGAAAGGAACAATTTTGGTTTTCGAAAAACCCATAATGGCTTACTGTAGTTACAGAAGCTGTGGATATGATGCAAGCACATAACACGGTAGCAAAGTGAAATCGTGTAAAACAGCTGTGTAACAGAATACCTTTATCATGATCAAAATCACTCACCAACGCCGCGGTTTGAAATTCAGTATAAAACGTTGGACATTCCGTTAATTCACGTTTCCAAGAGGAACACGGGAGGCGGTACGATGTCAACGGGAAAAATTGCAAATTAATCACGAGTTGGATTTCCGCAAAAATATTGGGCCCAGCCCAGGAATATAATTAAAACAAATGTCAGATTAGAGCCATGTACCAAGTGAAGGTTTTTGACGAAAGTTATTATTGACATTTCACTTTATCTAGCAACGATTCCAAGTACGACAATACACATTCCCACCGTTATAGAAAAGTTCATTAATCTGTCGCACTGATGATTGGATTAGGAATGGCGCGATCCACTGAGGCATCTTCTGTTCACGCTTTGTACCTCACACCGACTTGTGGACAAGCATGGTGCCCACATGTGGTAATCTGTATTTGGTATAAGGAATTGAACCGCAATAGT